AGCTCGGAAAGCTTTAGATTGCCGTTTTATTAATTCTCATTTTTACTCTTCTTTCTTTCCATCAACTTTACGTCTTTGGTTTAAAGTTTCCAACGTCTTATCCTGCCAATCATCGAACTCAATTTCTCTAACGTCTCTCACGCCTTTACTACCAAAACCGTTAATTCCTAATTTTTGTTTAAAAAGGTATAATTTTCAGACCTCAGAACTCGAGTACTGTTCATCGCATCATCGCATTTGGAATCACAACGAGACCCTTTTGAATTGCAACTTCTGTGTTAAACTTCTTCCGAGAGACAAAGTTAACATCTCGTTAGTGCAAGGACTAAAAAACATAATTAAAAGACAATTTAAACAGATATTTAAACCTTTTTTTGTTTAGGGTCACATGACCATCTGAGGCAACCCTTGCCCTTGGGGAAAAATAAGGGGAAAATGAACTCTTTTTAAAAAAACAAGGAAACCTTCTGGAGCATTAGACACTCTTGAAGAGGAAAAAGTTTGAATATTTTTAAGACGTGCAAAACGTGGAGACAAGACAGGGAGCTTTGTTGGGGAAAGTCTTTCTGCATTACCATCTCTACCTCATTAGACTTGATGTTTCCCTACATAATCGAAGTGCCTTCATTCGTGTCTGCTCGTTACTTTTTCCATCAGTGTACTTCCAGTGCTGTCCCAAATTTCTCTACATTTCCACACATTTTGAACAATTATTTTACACAGGGTTTAGTTAAAAAATCAGTAAATAATAATAAGCCTGCCTGGGTATAATCGCTTTTTCCAATGTTAGAGATAAGACTCTCTACATAAAAGGGTCAAAATTATGTATTTCTATGTAAATAAATATATGCACTAGATTTTACGACTGAAGCGACTCTCTGCCATCCTCAGAAGCAAGTTTTTCCAGCACCAGTGGCAGAGCAAGATGAGAAAAGATCGCTCGATTAGATTTATGGTGTTTTTATGAGTTCGCCCGATGATGATTTTCTGGCGGAAAGATTACGCTATCAAGGGATCAAGAATGATAAATATATATATATATATATATATATAAATACATACATACACACTCGTGCGCGAATAAAATAAGAGCGTTTCACAAGTTGTGCATTGATGGGTCATCACCGAATAATAAAACGGTAGGTACAGCGTTGGAAATTAAATTGCGCTCGTTCTGAAACTTTTATGTATGTCAAATCTGACTTTTTACAACCTTTTGCCTTTTCGAAAAAGGCTAGAGGGGAACGCAATCACCGTCCTGTTCGGGACGGACGGATTTCAAACCCCAAACCTATTATTCTAGGTTTGAATACTTTGAAGTCGAGAAATACAAGCGAATTGGGAAGTTTTCATGAATGCAGTCGCGAGAGAAAGGTGGCCGACGAAGAAAGGAAACTTTACTTTCCCAATACCCAATTAATAACTTTTAAAATTCTCCGAAGTCAGATTAACTCCGTGATCGAAATTAATTTTACTGATTTTCAAGTTTACAAGAATTGAAACACAGTGCCAGGGGGAAAAAAATAGACTTCTCCGAACGTCTTCGCCCTAATTCGAACTTAATGGATGACCTTCTTGTAATTTACTTTTTACACAAAGGTGGTAATCGTATTTTTCAATTTTCTTTCGATAATATGTAACATATATATATAAATATGTGATACTCTGAGTATTGACACCAAGTTTTAATATACGTTTACATTCTTATAAAAAACAAGTGGATACCTCCACTGGTCGAATCACCCGGCCGTTAAGAAACGACAACTTCGATGGTCCGTTAAGAAATACCACGAAACAACTTTAGAAAAAACGGACAGGTGCAAACGACACGGCAATGTGGACGAGGTCCGACGTTTGTTACGACCACTCGCTCTTATACCAATCTGAGGAAGCTTCAACTTCTTTGCTTCGATAAAAAAGACGAGACTACTTTCAGCATATACTACTTTAGTGGTGTCAACCATTTCAACCATTAAAAATCGTCGGACGTTCACACCTAACACCTGGATTTTCACTTAATTTGACTATCCATAATTAAATTAACAGGTTGTGAAACTTGAAATTTACGTTGTGAAACTTCTCGGAGAAGCGATTGAAAAAAAAACAACTGAGAATATTTGATGGTGGCAAACCGAACAAAACACGTGGATGTTTATAAATTCTGTCCTGCTCAGTGAGACAGTAGAGAAGTAACCGACACCAAACAAGTTTTGTGTTGAATTAGTATAAACGTAGAAAGGTAGGTATTACGAAGAAGTTGAAGGAGTACAGAACAGTAGTTGACATTAAAAAGGTGCAACTTATTTACACACACAGGGCGAAAAGTTAAGTAAATTGAAAATTTAAAACACCTTAATTCCTCCATTTCCGTCTTGACTGTTGCCAGATCCGAATTTTTGTTGAGAGATCTCCTAAGTGATTCTTCTAAAATGTTAAAGTCTTCCTGTCTCCTTTCCAGGAGAGCATTCACCTGCCCTCTCAAAGTCCGCACTACATCCCTTAAGTTGTCATTGTCGTCAGTCGATGATGCTAACACCAGGACACAACACACAGCACACGAAACGTAAAATCCGACGGCAACCGAACGCGTTCCCATGTCTGAACGTTTCTCATTCACCGACCGAACTTGACTGAAGAGCTCGACACGGGGAGAAAATCGGGAGCAGCTGCGTTTCTCGTACGCAGGCGCAGGTCCGCGTACCCACCACAGAGGGTGATTCGCGTTTCTTATTTGTAACAAAACGCCAGGTGAGAAAGGTGAGTTTTCAGGTACGAACCTTCCGAAGTCTAAGCGTGGGCAACACCGCCGGGAAGAAACCCCATTAAAGGAGCTATTTCGCTGCCAACAAAAACGAATGCGTTCTTGATTGGATTACGTTTCTTCGTATGCATCCAGGTACCCGAACCTGAAAATAAATATAAAAAAAAAGAAACGGAATCCTGATTTCCTCTGTATCCCCACGATTACGGTGCACTCAAACTAAATCTTTGGGAGATTTGTGACTCGTGGCCGTGCATACATTTCCCGGATTATTGTTCCTCCTCTTCATTACTGGTAATGTACCTAAAACCTAGAGGATTTGGAAACTGGGTTTGTCATCTTTAGGCATAATCAAGCACGGGTTTTCAAGAAACTGGCGGCAAACTGCCTTTTTTCAAGTGACCCAAACTCCGCGTCACCCCTTCGATAACTTCGGCAGCAACCTTATTTCATTAGGGTAGTCTTCAGGGTCTTGTTTAATTTCATTTTTCAAAACGACAAAGTGTAATTTTCACGAGCATGCAAAAGATTTCAGGTTTTCTCTTTATAAATGAAACAGATTCCTCATCTTGGGTGATAAATGCGGTCATTAAAGTCACCTGGTCAACCCTCGGAGGACCACCACCAACCGGTTTCACCTAAATTTTGTCGGACCCCGTCGATTTTCAATTTACCCCTGGGAAATTTAACGATGTCCGGATTATTTTTGGAATATCCAAGACGGATTTTTACAAGGTTTCACTATGGTCCGCAGTAACGTCCAAATGGTTTCCAACAACACTCCAGTTGGTTGTAAAAATCCTTTTTGGGTAATTAAATGAAATTACCGCTTGGAAAAAGGGTTTCTGAAACGCGAAGGAACCCACCACGGAAGCTAATTCTGAAACTCATTTTCACTCTGCCGCGTTCACCTGGGAATGTTACCCTCTCGCCATCGATTTGCAATTTTTGGTTTGATCGGCAGTGATATGGCAGACTGAAGGAAGGTAGTTGTAGAACCCCGTAATTTACGGAATCGGATTTAACCGATGACGTTCGGAAGGACGTGGAAACAACTTTGGTGTGTCACGGTATATCAAGTGTATAGCTGAAGTTGGTTAAATTGTTTAGCATTTCCCTGTCACCCCATTTTCAGCTGACCACTTCATCCCTTCCATAGTACTCATCTTCAACTACTGGAAATCTTACGGTATCCAACATTACACTAAGATGTCAGGATGGTGAATGTGTATTGTGGTTCTCAGAAATTGAAATGTGGCAAAGTAGCTTCTTCAGAAGGTGAGTTGAGGCAAAGATCAGTGGAAAAGTGGGATTTAGAATGGACTTGACACTTCTTCATTTTATATTTAATATTATTAATGTTATTATTCAACAACTGATGGTCACTGATACTCAAAGATATTTCTCAAAAAAATAATTTTTTTTAAGAAACGGATAATGAAAAGTTATCGGGTGAAAATGATACCAAGAAGCTGACTTTTGAACACCCCTGACCAGGTTTTTTTGGGCGGCCACCTGCCACCGAGATGAACCCGATGAAGACGCCATACGGCAGATGTGAGGCAGAAAAACACAAGTTTTAGGCTTAAGGCTTTTCCCTTGTCGAGTGTCCTTTTTGGATACCTTGAAATGATTATCTTGTTTCATTAGTTCTTTGTTCCATCGACCTCATCTCTGACTTCTGCCTTGTTCTCAAATCGTTCGACTTGCTTCTTTTTACGCTTTCACAACTATTGTTCTTGTGTAAAGGCCGTTTAAGAGCAACAGTTGGTGGAATCGCCCGAGGTAAATTCGGTATCATTAACGTGGAACTTTTTCAGAAACATACGTTGAATTCTGAACTTAATAAATTTAAATAAGTTCCGAGTTCTAAATCACAACTGCAGCTGCGATTCTTTTTAATTCTTTTTATTGTTATTTATTACTTATCTTTTGTTCTAATGGCTTTTGTTCTATTTTACTAGTTGCTAATTATTCAACAAAACGACACATTTGTCGGGCAATTCATTTGTTTGATACTTTAAAATTGTCTTACGAAACTTATTTACTTAACCGGTGTTGTAATCGTCGACAACGACTCGACATGTGGAGACTCAGTTTTTATTTTAACGGTAATTAAATTGATTCGGCTGACCGTTGAGAAATGATAAAAAATGCAAATTAAACAAGAATTTGATGTTGTAATTTTAGCAAGCAAATTGTCGAGGACATAGGAAATGTGGTCGGCGATAAAAAATTTTGTCAGAAGTGGGATTCGAACCCACGCCCTCAGAGAGGACCAGAACGCTCGGTTCCCGTTCTGAACAACGGGAAAGGTCGACCTTGAGTCTGGCGCCTTAGACCGCTCGGCCATCCTGACGTTGCTACGAAAATACACCGAGCGCATAAAACACGGTCCGACTCTTTCGAATAGTTCAATTCAGCATTAAAATTTAAATTGCTGATCGTGGGAATTTAAGAATAAACGTTCGATTCTCTCCATCGGGGGAAAAAAATTTGTTTTCTGTTCTTCTCGACCAATTGCTGTAAAACGTTCTCATCAAAATTAAATTCCCGGTCGGACATGTGACGTTACACCGGGTCGGCGAAAACCTCCAGCAGTTGGTAACAAGCGAAAACCACCAGGAAAACATAGTGGAATTTTAAATTGCATAATAGGTTTGTCTTTTTGCTCAAAACTGAAAAAGGCGGTCACATAAAAATTTCACGAGGAATTCCTCCGGTTCTGACGATGTGAAATAAAAAGAAGACGAGGTTCAGGTTTTAAGGTTTCTTTTATGCGAACCAAATGAAGGATAACACATTTTTTCCATTAAAATACCTCGATATAAGGAGGGGATTTTCCTTTTATTCGGGTTGAATAGGACTTTATACAAAAAAAATTGTATACACGAAATGGGATCTCTGGAATCTGATTGTCCCCTTTTCAGGCACGGGAGGTAAGAGAAAAGCCATTTTAATGAATGGATTCCAACCAACCTTTTAAGTTCGTTGTAATTTAAACTTAGTTCGACAACTCAGACTGTACAATGCCACATAAACAGCGGATTTCTGCCGAAGAAAGCGTACTTAACGTGTAAGTTTACTAATGAAGCGTTCGACCTCGACCTAGCCGAATAAAATACTTGAATGAATAATTGTTAAACATCAGGCCCTACTTTACTTCAGGAGAGAATTTGTACTTTTGTATATGCTGGTGCCACTGCTGAGACGGTTGTCAGAAGTTTACTTCTTCTTAACACAAAAGTATTTCGGCGGAAAGTAATTAAACTCGCCGCAACTGTAAAACCGAAGAAGAAATTAAAACAGTAACAGCTCATACCGAAATTCTTCTGGTGATTTATAACTTTTTGATTTAAAATTTTCTCTAATGGAAAACGATTTATTCTTCTATTGTCTAGTTTTCAATTTTTGCTTCCCGAAATTCTCCCGGGCCTTTTCGAATCTTAAGAAGTGACCCACTTTCGCTAAGTGACAAATGTAAGCTCATTCAAAATTAATAATACGTGGCTATTCGGCAAGTTAGCCTTATTGATCGGGGGTCGATAAAATTTTATTTCTAACAGACCGAGAACGATTTTTACATCCACTACAACTACGATTTCATCCATCTCTCGTTGATCATTCACAGACGAAGAGAAGAATGCAAACCAGATTTTTCGGAGAAGGACAGAGAAGAAGGCAATAACACACCTAAATAATACCATCATGCGTCCACATAGTTACGTGTACCTGTACAGGTGTGCACTTCACCCCTAACTTTAAACAATAAAAATAAACGAAGCGAATCGGAGAGCAGCCGCGACATGATTTTTCTTAATGGAAACGAAACCCTCACGACCATTTTTAAAAACATCGTACACAATTAGAGATATGTAGGTTAGTGGTGTTGGTTGAGTGTCATCACCCATAACCAATTCACCTGTATTAATTGTGAATTCCCGATAGAATAGAAGGACTTGCTCAAGGTGTGCATGTTTCCGTGTCCGCACTAAAAGTCCGCCGGACAACAGTGGAGTACTGCAAGCTTTTGCAGCAAAACAGTAAATTCACAAAAAAAAATGGATTGGAAGCCATTGCGGTTCAAGAACGTCTAAGTAGCAGACTTTTCAGACTTTGACAGAGTTTGGCGAAGGCTTCACCCAGGGAGGCGGTGTGATTTCCTCAGCAGCTGGCGCGGCTGTTTAATATGAAAGAGGTCGAGATGGCAAAACAAGTAGGAGGACGAAAAGAGTCGACAAGAGGTCAATTTGCAATGGAAATTATTCCTTTTTTGGAATGAGATATTGAAAAGTTAGCGCTGTCGTGTAGGTACTTGTGGAGAATTAACGGGAAACTCCATTCTGACTTCTTCAGCCGGGAAAACTCTTGAGGACGGGGTGAGAGAAAAAGAGAAATTAGAATGTAAAGTGAGGTGAAATATTGGAGTGACGGAGGGGGTACGCACCTTAATTTTAAAAGTGTGTGCGAGACATGAAAACTATTTCTTTCGTTCATTACATGCCACCGCGTCCGCGTTCCGACAACATGGACACTTGCCCGAGACTGGTTCACGACGACGTCCGAGTGCTTATTCAAAACGCTCAGGTACGGTTGAAAAAATTCAAGTCCAGTCACTTGCAAATTGGTTTACGTTTTCATTAATTCTCGAAGACAATACAAAAACTCCTGCCCCAAAAGAAAAATCAATAAACAGTCCGACCCAAAATGAGTCCCGAGGGCAGGTACTCGCATCATCTGCCTAACAAGTATACCTGGACGTACGTACCTCGTTCAGGTCGCGTGCCGGCTGCTCTCTCTCTCTCTCTCTCTCTCTCTCTCTCTCTCTCTTTTTGTCTCTCCAGGAAAGAATCGACCCATCTGCAGATGAGCATCTGCTCTTCTCGAAGTCCCCAGGCTGGACTTAGTGGTCTTTTCATATAAAATTCATTTTTTAAATTTATCACGGTTTCAATCCCAAATTTTAATAGACACTTAAAAAGTAATTTCTGAGGCTGTTCTTTTGATTTAAAACGGTCTTCGGTCGACTTTACTTTTTACGTACTCGTTTTAAGGGTTTACCAGAGATAGTACAGTCTATTTCTGGTTAAAATAGTTTTATAAATTGTTTTTCGTTACTTCCTGACATAGAAAGAGGTTTATCCCCTTATTTCCAGATGGTTTACACCCGTTTGTACTCCTTCATTGTACGTAAGCATCCTTAATTCACAAATTAAATACTAATAGCAATTATGTAAAATAAACAATACATTCAATACTAACTGTAGATACAATAATATATACAGTACACTGATAACATATATAATGATACACTATAATTTATAATAATCAATTTTATATTGTATGTGTTGAAAGAAATGCTTGATGTTGATTTTTATTTGCGATTATTTAGTAAATAATTTTAGAATATTTTGTTTTTTTTTTTTGAAAACTTAAAACTTAAAAATTACACTGGTGGGGAGAAAACGAATTCACAACTTTTGGATTTATGTAAATTTTATATTAAATAAACAAACCAATGGAGTTGCTGAATTGTTACAACCAAATGAGTTTATGTTTCATCAAAACTACTGTACGCTTTCGAAATTTTATAAAAAAATAACTAAACATTTTTTAGTTTTATTTTTATATATTACATAGAAGGAATAGTAGTTTAGCATATTAGTATATTTTACGTTTAGGAGTAGGAGTATTGTAGGGTAAATGCGAACGCAAAAACCCGTCGAAACAATTTATTGACAGTCGTTAGTATAAGTAATTGTGTGTGCGTAAATATGTAAGGGTCGTAATTATTCGCTCATGGCGGAGTGTCAGACAATATGGAAGTAGGGTAATAGCAAAATTTCCGCCATTTTGCAGGCCAGTTCACGTAGGACCGTGCTCAAATCCCACGAAATAATATTTCGTACGAACAACTCTATCCTTTTTACTTTCCGTGGCATTCTTTAATTGTATACGTTTTGTTCACCCCTCCAGACATTTATTTCTTTTTGGACGTTTTCGATAGTATTCCAGAATGGGAAAATATTCAGGGAATTTTCCACGAATTTTCACTTAGACATTTATCGCATCTATTTATCACTCACAGTGTTGCGTACATAAAACGAATTCCGGGGCAGTTCCGAATACAAAAATAAAAATGGTTTTGCGGAGATTGGAAGAAACGCCCAGAAAGTCTCCCCGGTTTGTCGATTACGTGAAGAAAATCGTATTCAGTGACAATTTCCCTGCTTCAGTCATCTCAGGGTCTCGCTTTCCTTTTCTTTTTTTTTTCTTTTAGGGTTTGTAACATCCCTCCGAGTTAGTCGCCCACTTGTTTGCACTCTCTTCCACTTTTATTTTCATCCCGGAGTTTGTTCTGACAAATTGTTTCACGTTCGGAAAAACGTTTTCGAAAGGAAAAGTGACGAACTCGGAAGGAAAGCATTGAGTAATTCGGTTCCGAGGGTTCTTTCTACGCACGCGTTCAATTGGGGGAGAGGGGTAAATCAAACACAACTGTTACCGATTTAAATTATTTTCTTCCTAATTGCCGATATGATTTATTTATTTTGTGTCGGCGTTGGAAATAAAGTACTCTCGGGAATCAGAAATTTTTATTTATAATGTGATAAGTATATATTGAAAAAAGGGAAGTTCGACGCAGGCGTTAGAAAGCGAATGCAAGAAGAAGAAGAAGATTGGTTCCCTGTACTTTTTGGCGGTGAATGGTTCACGGCTTTGCTGCAATTATTAGTTTTCCTCCTTTTAACTATTAATAGTTTCTCGTAATGAGTGGAGTCTAAGAAACGAGAAAGCGATTTGAACCGTCACATTTGTGTCACGTGTGTTGTTTCCCTGTTGTATATCGTCTGACAAGTGTCGCGAACGAAGGAGAACAATACGACTCCGAGATTAATGCCATTATTTTAATATTTCCTTTATTACTAGCTGCCTCGATGAATTTATGAACTTTACGTAAAGAACGGTGAAATAAAATCTGAATCCATAAACCTAACTGAGCTCGAGTCGTTCAACTCTTTCTTTTATTCTTCCAAATCGAACACACAAAGTTTGCTATTTAATTGTTAATAACTCGAAAACGTAAAAAATTGAAATGGCCCGGGTTTCCCTTTACGACTTGTTCCTGTGACGTTTAATTAACATTTTTTAAACAGAAATTATACTATTTGGAATCCTGAAATTTACAAAATTCTCTCAATGAATGCGCTCAAGAAACTGGATGTTTTATTGTTTAAATAAATAGTTACAACCATGAGGAATAGTTCCTTGCTTTCTTAGAAAAAAAACAGAGCATGACACCCGTCATTAAAGTTTTCACGAGTTCATAAATTAAATATGTATAGTACATTATGTCTA